ATCTATATCTGTCTAGTATGCAAACTCAGAAATAAACATATCCTTCTCAATTAGCCACTGCTATAAACATACCCTTCTCAATTAGCCACTGCTTACAAGAATACCCTGCAGGACCAAGAGAGAAGCAACATTCAGTTAACTTGACAGCTAACAATCATCTCTGTAGAGCATTTTGATCCTGCTGATGGATTGACATCGTTAACATGATTATCTCCAATGTTTTTTGAGCTGGGGATTTGGAATTAACTTGCCTCGGTGAAATTATCTGTGGAGTGGGCAGATATGATGCTTACAAGAGAAGAACAGCCTTTTATGGGTTTGACTTCTACGGCTTTGTTAACTAAATAATTCTTTTGAGCCGAATGACTTGGCAGAATTCATGTACAGAGATTGTTTGTAAATAAGAGTGTTTTAATGCATGTTAGTATCATGTTAGGAATGGTGAAAAAGAGACATGAAACCCAATTCACACAAACCCAATTCAAATTAAAGCTCAACCAAACCCTAAAAAACCAAAGCAACAAAATTAAGCTTCAGAATCAGCTCAAACAAACTAGCAAACCTTAAAATTGAAACCAAAAAAACAAAACCAATCACGGCAGGAAGTAGTCAAGGCGGACGAGATTCTTTGGTAAGAAACGAAATCAAGGGATTCTGACCCAAATATAGAATTAAATAGAGCTGATCTAGGAGGTAGTCATATGCAAATCAATAAAAATTTGAGGAAGGAAGAGGAATTACCTGAGCCGCTGATCTATCGAGAGAGATGATGAAAAGTCAGGTAGATGCGCGCGATTGAGAACCTACTATCAAGGAGAGGTTGAGTGGCCGACGACGCGAAGGTGAGAGAGCAGCGAGAGCAACGGCAGAGTCAGGGAGGACGGTGAAGGCTCATCGCCGTCGGTGAGAAGAGAGTGCAGACCAAATTCAATTTAAAATTGAAATTCGAGGGTTTTAGGGTGAAATTGAAATGCACGGAATTTACTCATGAGAATTACTCTGTTAAAATACATGTATTTCATCCAAATTCAATTACATTTTATTTAGGTAAAAACAAACAGTGAAATTGAATTTGAGCACTCCAAATTCAAATACACACTGTCAAATTCAAGGTGCCGAACAGAGCATAAAAGAAAAATTCTCAACCGAAATTCCAAACCCCCTTTCTTTCGTTTAAAGAGAAAGGAAGCAGTACCTTTCGCCGTTAACAAGAAGCACGTGATTTTCCCATGTGGGATGTGGCATGAGCCACACTTCTCAATCTGTAATTTTCTGTCCCGGAAATTAAGCACCCACACAAAATCGTCACCGCTAACGTCACTTTTCTCCTTCCCGTCCTCTATATAAACCGCAATACCATGGTCCATGGATGACTATATGCACTCTCCTCTTCAAATCATACACCAACCTAAGCCCGTTTTTTCTACATACCACACCACTCAGCATCACCTCCACGCGCCACCGTTGCCATCTCCTCTTTTTTTTTTTTTTTGGTAATAAACAATCACCCCATCTCCTCTCCATGATGAAACGGCCTCACTTTCTAGTCGTAACCTTCCCTGCCCAGGGACACATAAATCCTGCCCTCCAGTTCGCCAAGCGTCTAATACGCATTGGAGCTGATGTCACCTTCGCCACAAGCGTCTCCGCTTACCGCCGTATGAACACCAAACCCCCCACCATTGAAGGCCTTTCTTTCACCATGTTTTCTGACGGCTACGATGATGGGGTAAAGGAATTCCACGACCCCGCGCAATACTTGTCCGAGCTCAAGCGTCGAGGCTCTGAAACTCTGACTAACCTAATACTGAGTAGCCAGAAGGAGGGCCGGTCGTTCACTTGCATAGTCTACACACTACTCCTACCCTGGGTAGCCGAGGTGGCGCGGGCATTTAAAGCCCCATCGGCCATTCTCTGGATCCAGCCTGCCACGGTTTTAGACATCTACTACTACTACTTCTATGGTTATGAAGAAACCATCAGGAACAATGCAAGTGACCCCTCTTGTTTAATCCAATTACCAGGTCTCCCACCACTAATTAGCCGTGACTTACCTTCATTTGTAATGCCTTCAAATACCTATGCTTTTGCATTACCTACATTTCAAGAACAACTCGTTCAACTTTGCGAAGAAACCAACCCGAAGATACTGGTTAACACCTTTGATGCCTTGGAACCTGAGGCCTTAAAGGCGATTAGTGAGTTTACGATGATTGGAGTTGGACCCTTAATTCCATCTGCCTTTTTGGACGGTAAGGATCCATCCGATACTTCCTCTGGTGGCGATCTTTTCCATGGTTCAAAGGATTACATAGATTGGCTTGACTCGAAGCAGAAATCATCTGTTATTTATGTTTCCTTTGGAACTATTGCCGTTTTGAAGAAGCAGCAAGTGGAGGAAATCGCTCGTGGACTGCTAGACAGTGGACGGCCGTTCTTGTGGGTGATGAGAGCAAAAGATGGAGAGGGGGATAAGAAAGAAGAAGACGAGATCAATTTCAGGGAAGAACTGGAGCAGCAAGGGATGATAGTACCGTGGTGCTCGCAGCTGGAGGTTCTGTCTCATCCGTCGTTAGGATGCTTCGTGACGCATTGTGGTTGGAACTCGACGCTTGAGAGTTTGGCAGCGGGGGTGCCGGTGGTGGCCTTTCCTCAGTGGACGGATCAAGGGACAAATGCCAAGCTGATTGAAGATGTGTGGAAGACGGGGGTGAGAGTGACGGTGGATGAAGACGGCATAGTAAGAAGCGATGAGATAATGAGATGCTTGGAATTGGTGATGGGAGGTGGGGAAAAGGCAGAAGAACTGAGAAAGAATGCTGCAAAATGGAAGGATTTGGCTAGGGAGGCCACCAACGAAGGCGGATGTTCCGACAAGAATCTTCGGAGATTTGTAGATGAGGTTTCCGAAGGGTGCACCTAGTACTGGTACAGTATAGGCAGATACTTGTGTGATAACTTTGGATAAGATTAATGTGTTTGTGGACTTAATTTTGTTACTGGTCATGTATTTTGTAATTTAGCAGTGATCTGATTTTTTTCTACCTCTTTCACAAAAGAGGCAAACCAAACCAAATTTCGTTGTTGTGGAAATTCAATATGTGGGAGTCAAGTGGCATGTATTCTAATATCAATTATTAATGTAAAAGAGTATTACTTTTCATATTTAAACCAAATATATTTCTTTTTTCATACAGCATTGAATTAGATTGAGACTTTTCACATAATAATTGCTAATTGAATGAAGATGACAGGCATATATAAGAAGGAGGATATTTCATAGGTCCATCCGCTTTTTTAGTTTAATTCCTATTTAATCCCTTAATTTATAAAGTTTAAGATTATTAATTCCTCACATAAAAATATATGTGTATTAGTCTCTCAATAATATAATTGAGAGAAATTTATCCTTATTTAATAGATTTTAAATTATATCATTGATCATATTTAATTTTTATCTTAATTGGTGATACAGTCAGTATTTCTAACTTACATAACATGTCACCATGACAATACCTTTCTTTATTTAAAATGACAGAGTTGGGACTTGTGGCTTATTGGGCGAGAATGAATTTTTGTTTGGATTTTTTTATTTAATATAATAGAGTAGGATCCATATTATATTAAAAAAAATTTTTTTTATTAATTGCTACGATAGCATACGATATAGGATAAGGGATATAACTCTATCTTTGATTAGGATGAAATTCAAATTTGATTAATGATGCGAATTAAAGTTCGTAAAAATAATAGTAAATTTCTTCCAGTTATATTATTGAGAACCCTTAAAGTTTGACGTGAGAAGATAGCAATTTTAAATTTTATAGGTCAAAGGGCTAAATATGAGATTAAAGTTTTTTTTTTTTAGTTTGGATGGTAAGAGTATTCAAAAATAATTTGTGCATGTTTCCAAGATT